ACGTTATGTTCCAAATTTTGTTGAAATTGGTTAAGCAGATCTCGAGATATGGGTTTTCACCTAAAAGTGGGCTGTGCCACGCCCACTGTCTAATTTTGAACGCGGTTCCTATAAATTCATCTCATAACATTACAGAGATAAAATTTAGTGTCTCTGGCGTGTTTAGTGTTTGATTTATCGCGCTTTTAGTAGTTTTTAACAGTACCGTTATATGGGGAGTGGGCGGAGTTGCCACCTGATTTCAACTATTTTCACACCGATAATAGAAGAGCTAAAAACATTTGCTCGCAGTGAATTTTGTTAATATAGCATTAGCGGTTTAGGAGATATGCACAATTAAATTAGTTTTGACAATATATTTGTTTTTGATGAATGGCGTTCTGTGGGCGTGGCAGTGGTCCGATTACGCCCATCTGCAATACCAACCGTCTCACGATACCAAGAAACATGTCTACCAAGTTTCAAAAAGATATCTCAATTTGTACTCAAGTTAGAGCTTGCACGGACGGACAGACGGACGGACGGACAGACAATCACCCGGATTTCAACTCGTCTCTTCATCCTGATCATTTGTATATATATAACCCTATATCTAACTCGATTAGTTTTAGGTGATACAAACAACCGTTAGGTGAACAAAGCTATTATACTCTGTAGCAACAGGTTGCGAGAGTATAAAAATTATGAGTATACTGAATGGAGAAATAAGGGTGATGAACGAAAATGTTAGGACACCATGCCCACTAGAATTTAGATACCCTCCAAATGCTAGAATGCGATGGTCGAAAATGGATTTTAACAAGCCATACGACTTTATACTAGGGAATGAATTTATATTTAAAATTGTGAAAACGATAAACATTGAAAACAAAGAAATGGCATTGAGGAATGATGTCAAGCTTTCATGTCATATAGATAATGTAAGAAAGTGAAGCTAATAACATTTAACTCGACCATTTAAACCCAAAAGAAAGGACAAAAATAAATAAACTATAAAAAAAATGTGAAAAGCTAATTTAAGCTGCCAAATACGAATACCGATGTTCATGAAATTAGAACAACAACGAATTAGCAAATCAATTCCCGAAATTACAGATTGCCCCCAAAACATGCGAAAGAGGCGGAAAGGCAAATCGAGGAAATGGAAAAGGAAGGAATAATACGGAAAAGTCGAAGTATATACAGCTCACCAATAGTGATTGTGCCTAACAAATCAGAATATTCCGGTATAAACAAATTTGGGCTGGTGCTGATTACAGGAGGTTAAACCAAATCACTGTTGACGATAAATATCCCCTGCCAAATATTAATGAAACTTTAGATGAATTGGGTAAAGCACAGTACTTTAGCACCATAGATCTAGCGAAAGGTTAAGATAAGATCTTAATGGCAGAAAAATATGTAGAGCAAACAGCTTTTGTGATGTCAGCAGACCTGAATGAATACGTCAGGATGCCTTTTGGTATTAAAAATATTCCAGCAACTTTTTAGAGATTAATGAAGGACATCCTAAGTGAGCACATTAATATAATATGTTTAGTCTACCTATATGACCTATTAATATTTTCTACGTCACTAGAAGAACACATAAATTCATTATGAACAATTATTTCAAAGCTTTAGGAAAATAACCATAAAATCCTGGCAAATAAAAATAGTTTCTTAAAAAGAGATACCGAATTTTTGGGAAACGTTTTGGTTTTTTAACCATACAAAAATTACCAATTCCAACAACAGAAAGGCAAATAACAGGCTATTAAAGAAAGTTTATTAAAGATTACTCTAAAATAGCTTAGCAAATGATACAATATTTAAAGAAATATAACAAAATAAATCCGTGAGATCCTTTATACAAGTGCAAGTATATAGCCAGCTTTGAAAATTTAAATACACTTATCTCATCGCATCCAATTTTAAAATTTCCTGAATTTGACAGAAAATTTGCAATTACTATGGATGCAAGCGATTACGCTATTAGAGCTGTTCTTTCACAGCAAATCCCACCAATATGATTGATCTCAAGAACTTTTAACAATCATGAGCAGAAGTATGCGGTGACAGACAAGGAATTCCCTGCAATCATGTAAGAGGTGTGTTCAAAGGAAAAGGTGAATTTTGATTTTTTCATGGGCTGTTTACATTATAATCGGACACATATGTTTATTATGTAACGACGGCAAACAGCAGACTCAGCATATTTTGAGCTTGCTTGAATATACGGTACAGTCGGACATCGCTGCAAACTCGAGTTGCAATCGGATGTGAGAGGTAGTCTGATTTGCGAAAGAAAAGAAACCAGTTGTGTTTATGGTCAGTGTTTGTTCCTGCAGATTCACAGTTACTGCTCCCAAATATATATCGCGGGCTTCGCTCAACTTATGGTCGAAATAATCGCCCTACTCTTCGTATTATTCGCAGCAACATCAACCTCCTTGAGACCCAGCATTCATTATTGGATAATATTTGACCGAATACACCACGTCCAGCCCGCATTTAGGGCTAAGATCACCCTGAAGAGATTCAGGGGCTGCCATTTCATCCAGAAAAAACAACGGTTTGGTGTGATTTGTAGGCCGGTAGAATCATCGGTCCATATTCTTCAAAAATAATGCCGGTAAGTACGTAACTGTCTATGGCGACCGTTATCGCACGTGATAACCGATTATTGATGCCCGAAATTGAAGCTCGTGATCTCGGCGACATTTGGCGCCTTTTCCCACACATTGCATCAATCAATGGATTTATTGAGAGAACACACACGGTAAGCACACACGTTTTCACGATTTGTGCTGGTCGATTGGCCACCAAGATCGTGCGATATCACACTTTTAGACTTTTTGCTGTGAGGATATGTAAAGTCTAAAGTCTATCCGGACAATCCCGCTTCGATTCAGGCCTAGGAGCAAAACATCACCCGTGTCATTCGACAGTTATAAGGAAAAATGCCAAAGAATGTTCTTTCAAATATTAATAAACATTCCCTTTAGGGAGCCTCAAAATGGATCACCCATATATAGATTTATGACAAACAATAGCATATAATTGTATAATAACAAGAAATAAATGTTTAAAAGTGGGTCATTCTATGCCAAATCGACAAATACTTTGACGCGACCCCCACTGAATCGAATGAATTTTGGTGGAAAGTTTTTATCATCATAAAACAAAGTTCAGAACTTCATTTTTTGTATATAGTAAACTTCACTATGTAGAAATTCATTATGAGGAGACCAAAATACACCAAGAGTAGAACGAAAATTCTGTTTCTTCAAAATTAATTTATTATAAGGGGAGCTTCATTATATGGAAGTTCACCATAAAGGATTTCTACTGTACATAATATAAGAATTTCCAAACTTGCGGTTCACTTATTAAAGAGTATATTGGTCAATCTGTCAATTTTAATGAAACTCAGAGTTCATCTTCTTCTGGTATTGATATATCGTAATGTTAATTGACTCCTATATTGAATTTGTACATTAGAGAGGGTTGATTAACAGGGAGCCAAAAAAACGGAAAACTAGCGTATGCGTAAAATGTTCTACAGATCATTCTGAACATCTTTGCCTAAGAAAGTATGGGTCTAAAACCGGTTACAAGCCAACGATATTTTGTTTTTGGGATTATAAAATATTTTCGTTAGTTTTTAAGATATCCGAATGAAATTTAATACATAGGTGTATTTTGAGATTCTATTGAACATTTGTCGGAATCGCCCAGACCGGACAACTATATCACATATCTCCCATACAACCAATTAGTTAGCTATTTTACTTGTAATTTTGCAGAATAGTCCTCTAGTATGTACTTATCACTGACAGCCACGGAACTGGACTCCCTGAAGATTCTGGTATTAAATTTCACTCGGATATTTCAAACACTAATGAAGAAATTGTTATAATCCCGTAAAAAACTTCGCTAAAAATCGCAGAGATGTTCAGAATGATCCGTAGAACATTTCCCGCATACGCGACTTTTTAGAAAAAAAATCGTCCCGCTCTATTGTACATATGGAAATGCTTCTCCAACGTTTTTTTGTTTGACATCTCCAAAATACAGATATTATTGGAGAATGTAATCCGTACTCATGGTTTATGAATTGGTATTTTACCGCTCTAGAAGGAAAGTGTATCGTTTGAAAGCGAGATCCGCAGCTCTTCTATATCAAAGAGTATAATACTTTTCCACCTAAAGGTTGTTTGTAACATCTAAAACTAGTTGAGATAGATATAGAATGTAATCGAAAAGGTTATGTTGAAAATTACTAAAATAGCTATAACTTAGTAAATAAATACATGCGCCTGAAGCTTTGAGATTCACACCCGAAAAAGCAAGAGCTAAGTAGGACTAAGTTTGAAAGTTGAACAATGGTCATGGCACCGCCAACTTTTAGGTGAAGTTTTATATCTCAGGAACTACTAGACAAATATATTGAGTGTTTCACATTATTTGACATTATTTTCAGTTCCTTGTGTTACAAATTATAGCTCATGTCTCTCTATGACTGGCAATTCTTACACAGAATTGTCTAATCTAAAGTTCCATTTACTGAACCATCAATAGTTCATGTTATAGTGTTTTATGGCTCTCGAATGATCACAACTTCAAAAGGGTAATTTTCATATTGACACCGACAACAAAATGTTCATTATGTTAATTTTACTGAAATCCTATAAGCATTTAATCAACTCAATGTAAGAAAGGTCAAAATAATTCAACCGCAACCAATCACCAACTGAATACTTAGTAGTTTATTTTCGCGGTCGTGTCTCTCTCTTTTCTCATACTGTACTTTTCTCGTACTGACAGCTTACTTAGAAGCTTTTTGTACTCGATTTCAAAGGTCTTTTTATACCATATCTTACCCCAATCTTATATGTAGATACAACCATACATATAATGGTTAAGGTAGACTTATTAAAACAAACGTTTTAAAATAAGTTTTTTTTTTCATGTTAATACCTCATTGTTATAACTAATTGTCAGAGTTCTTTTAACAGGTCTTCTTTTAATACCTAATGGTGAACAATTGGGATATTGTTTTGGTGATGATTACCAAGAATTACACTCTTCTATAATTAATGTAACAAATAAAACTTCAAATATGGTTTCACATCGTGTGACTTCTTCGCAAAATGAAATACATTCCATACCACAGAATAAACATCCTTGGGGAATCTTTTTTACTGTTTTGGGTACAGTCTTATTAGACTTTGACGCCGATGCATGCCAAAGCCCAGCTAGAGCATATTTGTTGGACATATGCCTTCCAGGTAGTAATTTCTATCTAACATCGAATCGTTTTTAACCTTCATTTAATTGTAGAGGATCATGTTAAAGGGCTTTCTACTTTTACAATAATGGCGGGCCTAGGCGGATTTATGGGGTACTCAATGGGAGCCGTCAATTGGGATGCAACAATAATTGGTATTCATAATGGTTATATTATATATACATAGCTTTATTAATATCAGCGTTTTACATTTTTCTAGGTCAAAAATTAGGAGGTCATATAAAAACAGTGTTCACTTTGGTTACTTTCATATTCACTTTTTGCGTAACACTAACAATAACAAGCTTTAAAGAAATTCCATTATGGGTTATAACGGATTATACAATTGACAAACATCAAAGAGTAAACACCACTAATGAGGACATGGAAGCATATAGTGCAGTAAATAAGTTAACGTGTAACGCTGAGGAGGTAAGTTTATTTCAAATAGTAAAAGTGAATCCACCATCGCTTTTTTACTCTCAAAACAGAGTTTTGTCGCCTAACGGTGCTTGTAACAACTAAAACTAATTGAAATGGATATATGAATGTATGTACATGTCTATATAATTTGTCAGTGATCAGGATGACGAGAAGAATTGAATTCCGGGTGGCTATTTGCCGGTTCGTCCGAGCAACCGATAAATTGAGTAAAAATTAACAAATTTGATACTAGATACATTCGAGTACTGTAGATATGGGGAATCGCAGCATTTTCGCCCATATAATTTCGTTAAACGAAAGTATACAGTGCCTTAACTAAGCCGCAAATTAAGATACACAACTGCAGTTTGGTTTGAAAATTTTTGTAAAGTGGACGTGGCCGTGGCCGTCTAAAAGGCTTAAAATATACAACTCTCATTCCACTGACTCTTCAACCAAATTTAATGCATAACATTATTTTCATATCTTTATATCTTTGTAGGAATGAAACTAAGTCGCAATGACGTCGTAAGAAAAATGTTGAAACCTTTTGACCAATTTTTATACTCTTGTAATTGTATATGGGCAGGATCGGACCACTGCTACGTCGACAAAGGGCCATTAATCGAAAGCGTATAAAGTGCCATAACTAAGTCGTAAATTAAGATACAGAACTTAAATTTGGCACAACGAATCACATTAAGGTGGGGCACCTGTGGTTTGAGAATCTTCAAAAAGTGGGTATTGTGCCCATCTCCAATAGATTTAAGGTAAATATTATTATATAAATGATCACCGTGACGAGCTGAGTTGATTTAGCCATGTCCGTCTGTATATACGCGAACTAGTCCCTCAGTTTTTGAGATATCGATCTGAAATTTTGCACCTGTCCTTTTCTAACAAAGAAGCTGCTCATTTGTTGGAACGGCCGATATCGGACCACTATAGCATATATCTGCCATACAAACTGAACAATCGGAATCAAGTGTATGTATGGAAAACTCTTTCATTTGACGAGCTATCTTCACGAAATTTGACATGTATTATTATTTAAGGCATTAATCTAATCTCCGAAGAAATTGTATAGATCGGACGACTATAGCATATAGCTGCCATATTAACTGAACGATCGGAGTAAAGTGTTTGCATGGAAATTTAGGCACGAGTTATTGCTTAAGGCAACAAATTATTCTCCACAGAAATTGGTCAGATCAGATAACTATATCATATAGCTGCCATACAAATTGAACGTTCGGAATCAAGTTCTTGTAAGGGCCTTTGTATTTGTAAAGGGTATTATATCTTCGGCGCAACCGAAGTTAACGTTTTTTCTTGTTTTTATATTCGTTTAGGCACAGCCAACTTTTAATCAAGTTGCGCATCCCAAATATTTTATTCAATCTCAAAAAAGCTTGAGAATTTTCATGGCGCCCGAATAGGGACTTACTAATGCTTGGCTTAAAAGTTAAGAAGTGTATATCAACTTTTCGGAAAAAAAATTAATTTTAATAATGCATCAATTTATCTTTTCGATTTTTGGGCAATTGCCTGTTTACTATTTTTTCGGGTTTCGTCAAGTGTATGTGACAAAAGTAAAACCAAAAATTTAACTAAAACAAATATTGGAAGCAAATAAAAGTACAAGTAAAAGGTATAATCCGAAAAAGTTATAATTCAAGTAAAAAAATTATAAAATAACATACATATATATGTAAATATATGGTAAAATAAAAAATAAAGAATGCGAAAAAAACCACAAATTAAATACACGAAATTAAAAACTAAAGTGTGTGTTAAATAAAATAAAACAAATTTACATAAATACATTTGTGATATATCCTTATCCTTGGGAAGATCCTAAAACAAATACATATTTACTTACTCATTAGGGCGCGGACAAAAAAACTTGGTTTATGCACGGCTTATACAGTGGAGTGTTCAAATGAAGTCACACACGTTTTCTGCCAAAGGTGCTGCAAAATATATTTTATATTGCGGCAAATTAAAAATTATTTAAACTGTTCTGTGCCGTTGAAAAAAAAAACAAATGCCATTAGCGTCCTTAACTAAAAGTGTCGGAATAGAGGTACAAGACCGTTTAAGAATATAACGAAACAAAATTGCCGCTCGGTTCAAAAAAAGATCAAAATATCTAACTTTGTGGGATTTGCGGTAGCGTTCTCATAAAGGTGCGATATCTAACAAATTACAAAAAGAAAAAGCTATAATCAATAAAATTTTACACTTCTTTCAGTGTTTTGGCTTACTCGTTTACTCGAAAATTATAATTTCTCAAAAAAAAAACAAAATTTTCAAAAATTCCAATTTTGCTATTGCTCATTTGCATATCTTTCGGCTTGGCTTTCGTGTAATTCGGGAGCGATACTTTTTTTTCGTTTTCGTCAATCGAATCCTAATATTACAGATATGCTAATCTGATCTGTTGCTAACTGTTATCGTGTTTCCGGAATTTTAATTTAAAAAAGCCAAAATGAGCAATCCAAAGCCAACTATCGCCAACATCTCTCCAAGTAAAGAGTTGATTGACTTAAAACCTTTAAAGCGTTTAAGGACGGTGGTGAAAAGTAGCATTTTGAGCATAAAAACGGGCCTTCTCGCAAAGACTACATATGTCTTCAGATCCAATCGAATTGGAATGTCGTCTCGACATATTAAATTCACATACTGAAAAATTAATGGACTGCCAATTTTAGACTGAAGAAATTGATGAAGACAACAGGGCCGAGGGGAGTTAGAGGACATAACTGTTGCAACAAAATCTATAATAAAAACAATTTTAAGAAAGAATAGAACATCTATTGCCAAAACATCTTTCATAACATCTCACAATTCAAGGCTCCCAAAACTTAATCTTACAGGGAACAGTAAAGGCATTTCAAATGAGGGATGAAAATTATTCGAAGGCATTGGTAAATATCAAAAAATTTTACGATAATAAATGTTTGATATTTTTCAGTACAATTTCGAAACATTTTAAGCTTTGAATTATCCAAAACCCATCAACACCTTCATTGCGTGCGAGGATCAATGAAGTGTGTATGACTCCTTGCTCTAGCTGGGTGATGAGGAACAAACCACAAGTACGATAATAACACATATAGTCATGACAAATGTTGACTCTCCCACCCAATCTAAGTGAGAAGAACAGCTGGATTAGGACAAGCTACCATTGTGTAAGGATTGCCAAATCACCTTGATTAGTAGGTACCAACACCAATCAGCAGAAGGAGTATCATGTTCGAGGACGAAACCTATAGCTGCCGCCAGCGCGAATCACGTGAAGCACCCACTTATGGATAGAACGAAGTCAGCTTTGCTTGTTGAAAATACAATTCAGCCGACGTGTCAGTAGTGCAAATCAAAGTACAATAGCATTATTTAACTGCAACAGTTTGAGTTTGTCAAATCGGTGCCTTTATGTATAAATTGTTTGCGCAAGGGACATACGGTATCCAGTATCGCGTGTGCAAACGATCCCACCATACGCTACTGCACCAGTATCCCGTCTTGTTTGCTGCTGCACCTCCTCCGCAACCAACAACAAGTAAACTTTATGACGGAGGATTAGGCCCAAAAGTTGCGGATTCGACGGGTATATTGGAAATTCCAATACGAAAGTCGGGGCAAAATTAAGCGCATGCGTTAATTCCCGGGTAAATAGTTTCAAATTTTCGGCGGAATTCTGGATTATGCGATGTAATTCGGCAAATCATCCAGACTATAACATCAATGTTAATGATTAGAAAATTCTGCACAATTATGAATTGACGGAGAGAATTCCAAAAATTCCAAAAGCTATACTTCGTATTGAGGGCAGAAACCTTTTTCGATCTGCTAGGTGTTGGCCATTTTAAAAGTGGTCCTAATTAACCAACGCTAGAGAAAACTCTTTTGGGATGGATTGTGTATTGCAAATATGTCAGCAGTGTAGGTCCTCCTCCCGAAGTAAATAGCACATTATGCGAAGCTGAACAAGACTTCGTCAAACAATTCATTGGTCTAAAAATTTTGGGTTCTGGAAGAACTTCGTTCAGAAACAAATGACAACAAATTCACACCAGAGCAAAAAAAGTATGAAAAGTTTTTCGTTCATACAAATCAAGTATTACCTTCAGGAAGGCTTTAAGTAAGAATATCCCTTAACGCTGACCGTCAGTTACTCGGTCACTCCCATGAAACCGCAGTTCGGTAGTTTAAGGTCCTGAAGAGGAGAACATTGAAAGATCCAGAACTTCGTAAAATGTAGCTAGAATTCATTAATGAGTATAAAGCGCTGGATGACACGAGCCCAACAAATAATAAGATCCAGAGTGAGCCATACTATTTCATTCCGCATCAGTGCATTTTGAGACCGGAGAGCACAACAACAAAATTACGAGTTGCCTTAGATGCGTAGAGTCGTACCTCTTCTCAAATTTAATTAAATGAAGTTTTGATGGTAGGCCCAACCATCCAAGAAGAATTGTACTCAACTCTTCTTCGTTTCCGCTTACATAAGTACGCTTTAAGGGCACACATTACTAAAATGTACCGCCAAATAATCATGCATTCAGAAGAAGACAGAAACTGTCAGCTTATTGTGTGGAGAGAGCATCCCTCAGAGCAAATTCAAATTTTTCGACTTAACACCGTCATTTACGGCACTGCGCCTGCATCATTTCTCCCAACACGGTGTTTACAATTTATGAACCGTCAGGACTAGCGCCTATGTTGAATCCATGATCTGAAACAATTATATTTTGGACCGACTCTGAAATCATATTGCATTGGATAAAACCACATCCAGTTTCTGATCGACTGCAAATGTTAAAGATAATACAATAATGGCCCTTATCGAATTAGTTCGATGGGTGATGAGCAAGCGTGTAAATTTGCGGTGAAATCTTCTATGCATAGAACTGGGTACCGATATGGTAGGGTTCGATCGTTGAGGCAACGGTAATTGCCACATGGACACCATTCGCCTCTTATTTTCATGCCCAAGATGT